GAGACAAGAGAATAGCCTAAGCCCAGGAGTTGGAGGTTGCTGTGAGCTGTGACGCCACAGCGCTCTACCAAGGGTGACAAAGTGAAACTCTGTCTCTATAAATAAATAAATAAATAAATAAAATTAAAATCAAATCACTAGTATGCCAACTACCCATAAATAATCACTGTTAATTTACCTTTTCATGCTTTCTTTTCAGATTCCTTTATAAAAAGAACTTTTAAAAGAGTATATGTATTGTAGATATAATATATCAACATGTTAGTAAGACTAAAATGCATATTCCATATAAAAGATTCTGTTACATAAGAATATATGTAACAGCTCGGCACCTGTGGCTCAAGTGGCTAAGGCGCCAGCCACATACACCTAAGGTGGTGGGTTTGAATCCAGCCCAGGCCCACCAAAACAACAATGATGGCTGCAACCATGAAACAGCCGGGTCCTGTGGTGGGCACCTGTGGTCCCAGCTACTTGAGAGGCAGAGGCAGGAGACTTGCTTCAGCCCAGGAGTTGGAGGTTGCTGTGAGCTGTGATGCCACAGCACTCTACCCAGGGTGACAGCTTGAGGCTCTGTCTCAAAAAAAAAGAATATATGTAACACAATATATATATAGGTTAACAAATTGTTTTATAATTTAGTATAATATGCATGCTTTAAAAAAACTAAATTGGGATAATATAAAGCGGAGTTTCAAATTTTATTTACTTAAAATAGACCACAAATTCATTCCTTTATAAATCCAAAAGGTACAAGAGGGTACAGTGAAAATGTCTTTTTCACCCCATCCTCCCACGCTTGTACCCCTATTTGGATTCAGTGGACACTGTTGGAACCTTCTAGGAATTTTTATGTGTGGACAAGAAGATAAACATATTCTTTTTCTCCCTTTTTACATAAATGTTACATGCGCTTGCCCCATTCTGCATTCTTCAGTTTTTACTTAATTTTAGGTATTGCTTCTTATCAGTAATCAAAAGCTTTTTCATTTTTGCAACTACATAATATTCCATTATATGAGCGTATTATAACTTATTTAGCAAGTCTCTCTAATAATCATTTGGGTTGTCTACAATCTTTTGCTTTTATTTTTATTTTATTTTTATTTTTTGGAGTTTTTGGCCAGGGCTGTGTTTGAAACTGCCACCTCCGGCGTATGGGGCTGGCGCCCTACTCCTTTGAGCCATGGCCACCACCCTTTTATTTTTATTTTTTACAGTTTCTTTGGCTGGGGCTGGGTTTGAACCTGCCACCTCCGGCCTATGGGGCTGGTGCCCTACTCCTTTGAGCCACAGGCGCCACCCCACAATCTTTTGCTTTTATAAACAATGCTGCAATAAATAACTGGATACCTATGTCATTTTGTCCATGTACAGGTCTGTATGCAGGATGATGTCCTAGAAATGGAATTCCAAGTCCAAGAACAGGTACAGTTATAATTTTGATGGATGTTGCCAGATAGCTCTCCACAGAGGTGATACACATAGAGTTAAAATGTTTCTCCTTTGATGTAAATTAGATAATCAAGCCTGAATTTAGAGCCTGTGGAAGCCAGGTTAGGGGAGGGTAGGCAGGGATCAGTTAGGAGGCTGCTGCAATAGTGGACAAAAAACTGCCTAGAACTAAATGGTGGACCAGAACCACTGGACAAAGGCAGTCATGGGACTGGAGCTGTGAATCCAAGGAATGTGCTGGATTGAGAATTCACAGGAGAGAGACACGAATTACATTTGGGAGTGAGGGAGCCAAGGTGTCTGACAGAGGTAACTTGTCTGAAATGAGGAATCCAGGTGAGAAGACAAAAGCAGCCCAACAGAGAGGGAAGAGTCCCTCAGATTTCAGGAGCCTTTCATTTCCCAGAGGGAGAGAGATTTTCATTATGATTCTGAACTTTTTTTTTTTTTGCAGTTTTTGTCCAGGGCTAGGTTTAAACCCACCACCTCTGGCACCTCCGGCCTATGGGGCTGGCGCCCTACTCCTTTGAGCCACAGGTGCCACCCTGAACTCTTAATTTGTTTCCTTTTCCTATGTGAGGAGAATGATCCTCATTCTGTAAAAGGTAAAACAGACACATTAAGAGGGGATTGAAAATTTCCAGTCAAAGACAGACTATTGGCTTCATACTTTTGTCCTTCCTGACCCCACTAAAATAGAAATAAAGCTGGGCACAGTGGCTCACGCCTGTAATCCCAGCACTCTGGGAGGCAGAGGCAGGTGGACTGCCTGAGCTCACAAGATCAAGACCAGCCTGAGCCAGAGCAAGACCCTGCCTCTAAAAATAGCTGGGCATTGTGGCCGGTGTCTGTAGTCCCAGCTACTCAGGAGGCTGAAGCAAGAGATTCGCTTGAGCTCAAGAGTTTGAGGTTGCTATGAGCTGTGATGCCACAGGACTCTACCGAGGGTAACAAAGTAAGACTCTACCTCAAAAATAAATAAATAAAATAAAATAGAAATAAAGCAGTGAAGAAAAGCATATTCCCTAGGGTGACACCTATGGCTCAGTGAATAGGATGCCAGCCCCATATACCAAGGGTGGTGGGTTTGAACCCAACCCCAGCCAAACTGCAACAAAAAGAAAGAAAGAAAAGCATATTCCCTAATGATGAAGACAGCAGGAGGGAAGCCACCTGAAAAGACATAAGAGCCAGGAAGTAAAGAGAGGCGTGGTCACGGAAGAAGCTGGGAAGACAGTGAGCCCAGAAGAGGAAGCAACTGGGAAGGTTGTAAATTATCCCAGCAGGACCACAGAGGAGGAGTTCTCAGATGGCTGGAAAGAGGACTGGCCAATAGTATATGGAAAATCAAATCCCATGTAACACTCAGGGCAGCCAAGGGTTCTCAACCAGTGGAAGGTTCTAGGGCAGTGGTTCTCAACCTGTGGGTCGCGACCCCTTTGGGGGTCGAACGACCCTTTCACAGGGGTCACCTAAATACATCCTGTATATCGGATATTTACATTACGATTCATAACAGTAGCAAAATTACAGTTATGAAGTAGCAATGAAAATAATTTTATGGTTGGGGGTCACCACAACATGAGGAACTGTATTAAAGGATCGCAGCATTAGGAGGCATTAGGAAGGTGAGAACCACTGTTTTAGGGGCTTCTACTGTTCTTTTTTTTTTTTAGATAGAGTCTCACTCTGTGCCCTGCATCATAGCTCATAGCAACCTCAAACTCTTGGGTTCTAGCAACCCTCTTGCCTCAGCTTCCCTAGTAGCTGGGACTAAGGTGCCCACTACAGGCCTGGCTCGTTTTTCTATTTGGTAGCGATGGGGTCTTGCTCAGGCTGGTCTCAAACTCCTGAGCTCAGGCTGTCCACCCACCTCGGCCTCCCAGAGTGCTAGGATTACAGGCATGAACCACCGCACCTGGATGGGCTTCCACTTCTATTAGAGTTTCCCATTTGATGCTGGTTCCCTGACCAAGTGAAATGAAATGAAATTTGCCAACTGACCAGCTTGGCTCCCTTTTAAATATGAAAAAACAAATATTGGGTGTCACCTGTGGCTCAAAGGAGTAGGGTGCCGGCCCCATATGCCAGAGGTGGCCGGTTCAAACCCAGCCCCAGCCAAAAACTGCAAAACAAAAACAAAAACAAAAACAAATATCATCAGATGTTTTACAAAAACCTCTAGCATGAAAAAGAGTCAAAGATAAGCAGAGGTGGGGGGAGTGCTCTGTAAGAAAGAGAAATAATTTAGGAAATAAAGGATAAAAGAAAATTTAAATGTTTAATTGGAATCCTCAGAGAGGTTAGAGAAGGTGTTGCAGCCCTAAGCAAGGACAGGGTGCTACGAAAGCAAGAGCAAGATCCTGTCTCTAAAAATAGCCGGGTGTTGCGGAGGGCACCTGTTGTCCCACCTCCTGGGGAGTCTAAGGCAAGATTTCTTGAGTCCAGGAGTGTGAAGTTGCTGTGAGCTAGGATGCCACAGCACTCAACCCTAGGGTGACTGAGTGAGACTCTTGTCTCAAAATAACAAACCAACAAAAAAAGCAAAGTAGCAATCACAGGGTAAGTATGACTATTGGAAATTAAAGATAGGATTATAGAATAAAAATTTCATTGAAAGGTGTCGGAAGGAAAGAGAATTAGTCTAATGTCTGAATAATAGTATATCCAGATCCTGAAAATTTCCTTAGGGAAGGAAAAAAAAATGGTTACCTCTAAAAATATAAGAATCAGACTGGCTTCAGGATTCTCATCAGCAAAGGCTAGAACGATGCCTTCAACATTCTATGAGAAAAGCAATTTTCTTTCTTTTTTTTTCTTGAGACA